TTTAATAAAAATCTTTGTATATAGGTTATCTGTAAAAAACGCAATCAGAGCCAATGACATGTAGAAGTAGTGTTGCCTAAACGGCTATTAAATTTCTAATAAAATTAAAACCAAAGTATAACTCATTGCATTTTTCGTTTGATAAAAATATACAGAAACGAAATAAAATCATAAGGATGCTAGTTTGTAATTTATGTTAATAATAATAAAATGACATGCTTAGACTATAAGCTTAACGGCTATACGCTGCCAATAGGCCATTAATAAATATTATTTTACTTTGTACTGGATTATAATGTATATTTTACAATAAAAACTAAATATAGCATGTTTTACTGTCATTTAAAACAAGTAATTCAAAATACACATCAGAACTGTAGGCCTGCAGTGGGTAAACTGTATACAGGGGGTGTTGGTCAATCAATAGCCTACAGCACATAATTGAACTAATTATGATGCTAACTGTAATTTAGCTCTGAATATAGGCCTACGATATATTTTCTGGTGTTTAATTTTGCATGGGCAAATAGCAGTATAGCCTAAAGTAAATTTTTAAAAAAGATTATCATTTACCCTACCTGCAGCACATGTGAGAGGTGGATCTGCAGCAAATTCACTTACACACTAAGCTATATCTATTTAATTTATAACAATGTAAACTTGACGTCACAGGCCGTTCATCTTTGAACGCAAAAGGCATTTTTAAGTGTCCTAACTTGTCTGCTGCTGCATAATGGGATGTTTCTTTACAAAACTGTAAAAGTGCGCTTTAGCATGTCAAAATGAAAGCAAATGTTCAAAAGAGTTCTGTGTTTTGTCAATTTTACTAATATTAATAATAATGGATATAATAAATTTAAATAATAATTGCACTGTGCAGTGTACTAAATATTTTTATTAGGCTACATAACTGAAAAACTATTTCATAACAATTTTCATAATTTTTACTGCTATTTCATATTATACAACATCTAAATGTAGCGCCGGGCCTGCGCTCGATACCAAGGAGTGGGGCTGTGTGTAGCGCCTTTAAACAGCGTGTCAATCAATAACCAAAAGAAAGTTCATATTATAAATATGTCTTATAATAATGATACTTATTGAAAATTCATTTAATCTTACCCCTCGTATAGATTTTTTAGTTGCACCATTAAAAAAACAGAGCACTCTAGAGTCCTGCAATACTTTGTAATTAAATAAAGTTTTTTTTGTTTTTTTCTAGAAAACTGTTTTCGGAATATTTTGTCTATTAAGCAACGCAAGAACAGAACCGAAAAAATATAAATTCTGCTTAGAGTGAACCGATTGGATTTTATTTTTTTTTATTTATTTTTTTTTTTGCCCTGATTATATGCCTAAATAGTAAATGTATAAATTTACTCATTCTTAATGATCCTAAAAAACACCAATTATTCTTAGACAGTTTGTAAATAATGCAATACTTCATTTAGTAATGAAAAATGAAGCTAGCTGTGTTTATAAACTGCTTACTATTAATGTAGAGTTAATGCTTAACAAATGATGTCTATTTGGAGTTTTGGTGGCTTGGTTATATGATGAAGGTCTCTTTGCATTTGTGGGGTTCAGTTCTTTATAAATATATTTTTAAATATTTTTAATGTTTTTTTTTTTCAAATAGTTAAAATACGACAGAAACATAAATAGAACATACTGGTGGGTTTTAAGAGTTTACCCAAAAATGTACATTATATTATTAATTACTTGCCCTCATCTCACTCTAATCCCCTGAGACCTTCATTCATCTTCAGACTCAAAGGAAGTTAACTTAGATGAAGTGCAAGAACTCCTCATCCTCCATAGACAGCAAGGGACTGAAACAATATGAAGGAGAAGAATTAATAACAGAATCTTCATTTTGGGGTGAACTAACCCTTTAATATTGTTTGCTATTGCACTTAACTAAATGTGTATGCAGACATGGAAGAGTTATGTGGAAGCTTGTTATACCCAATGAGAACTGCTTTTAGACATGCAAGAGAGTTTCATGGATTTTGTGTTTACTGTTTTTTGTGTTTAAAGGTTTTGTGGATATTATTTATAATAAATATAACATTTATTAAATTTATTCTGGACCATTTCCTGTTTGGATCTTGAGGTTCCTTCTGTATTCAAATTACATATTTTATAAACTGACCTGCTCTTCAAATGAAAATTCTAAAGCAGTTTACTGTCAAATTACTTGATTGAGGTTTAAAATTTAATATTAGTAAGGGTGCTGATCTGATCCCCATGTTGCCTAAAAACCGGTAATGTGTGTGTAGATCTGGTCCTTACTTTGACTCAAAACCAGTGATGTGTGTGTAGATCTGGTCCTTACTTTGACTCAATACCAGTAATGTGTGTGTAGACCTGGTCCTTACTTTGACTCAATACCGGTAATGTGTGTGTAGACCTGGTCCTTACTTTGACTCAATACCGGTAATGTGTGTGTAGACCTGGTCCTTACTTTGACTCAATACCGGTAATGTGTGTGTAGATCTGGTCCTTACTTTGACTCAATACCGGTAATGTGTGTGTAGATCTGGTCCTTACTTTGACTCAATACCAGTAATGTGTGTGTAGATCCGGTCCTTACTTTGACTCAATACCGGTAATGTGTGTGTAGATCTGGTCCCTACTTTGACTCAATACCAGTAATGTGTGTGTAGATCCGGTCCCTACTTTGACTCAATACCAGTAATGTGTGTGTAGACCTGGTCCCTACTTTGACTCAATACCGGTAATGTGTATCTGGAACTGGTCCTTACTTTGTCTCAAAACCAGTAAAGTGTGTGTAGAATTGGTCCCCACTTTGTCTAAAAATCGGTTGTGTATGTGGCGGACCCCACTTCTACACAAAACCTGAAATGTCCCCACAAGTGACCACTGTGTCAGGTCTAAAAAAAAATTTGCGGAATATGCAAAATCTGAAGTGATTTTATGAAATAGTTTGTGTTTTTGTGTGGCAAACTATTTTTTTTATGTCTCTAACATCATCAGAAAGGGTGGTCCCCATTACGTAACCACCGTGACAGGTGACCCCCACAATGCACAAAAACAAGTATGTGTGTGTGTGTGTGTGTGTGTGTGTGTGTGTGTGTGTGTGTGTGTGTGTAAATGTTAAAAACTGAAGCAGAGAATGACTAATGTGCAAAACAGCTTACATGTGCAGAATGTTAAAGTGCATATGTGCAATTGACAGTCCTTGTTACAGACTGCTGACAGCTGTTAGTCAGTTTAGTTTAAATAATTACTGCTATTGGATTATTTTAGGATGTAGACCAATACTATGTATATATATAAATGTATGAACATATTTATTTGTTCATTTTCTTTCAGCTTAGTCCCTTTATTTATCGGGGGTCGCCACAGCCGAAATAGCCACCAACTTAACCAGCATATGTTTTTACGCACCAGATGCCCTTCCAGCTGCAACCCCATACTGGGAAACACCCATACACTCTCACATTTACACACATATACACTATGGCCAATTTAGTTAATCCCATTAACCTATACCGAATGTCTTTGGACTGTGGGGGAAACCAGAGCTGGTTAACATGCAGACTCCACACAGAAAGGCCCATCTGGGACTCGAACCAGCAACCTTCTTGCTGTGAGGCGACAGTGCAAACCACTGAGCCACCATACCGTCCTATGTATGAATATTGAATATAGCAAATATGCATTCATACTGCTACATTATAATATTACTACATTGAAAACTTTAGTATACTTTATGCTTTGAAAGGCATGTCTCTGATAACCATGGCTGCATTTATTTGGTCAAATTTGCAATTTGCATTTGTTTGCATTTATTTGGTCAAACAATAATGCTGTGAAATTAATACTTACATTCAGAATACATTTATGATTTAAAACAAAAAACTTTATGATTATATTTTAAAATACAGGGTATTTCTATGTTGTTCAGTATTTAGTGCCAACTGCCAAGTGAATATTGAGAAATGATTCAGATACAGTTATGCTGATTTGCTTATTTGCTATGATACATTATTAGTTAATGATTAATAATCATCAGAAGTATAGGTTTATATATATATAGATAATCAAATGAAATGTTTGTTGAGCATGAAGTCAGCATATCAGAATGATTTCTGAAGAATTATGTAAATTTGAACATTGTACAAATGATGCTGATCAAATGTAAATTTTAAAATATATTTATGACAACAATTCACAATATTACTCATTTTGTATTTATTTTGTTTTATTCAATAAATATGGCTTTGATGATCATCAACTTCTTTCATAACAAAGGTATTAGCCCCCCTTTGATTTTTTATTATTTTTTTAAAACAGAGTAAAGAAAATCTTCACAGTATATGTTAAGATTTCTTGAGAAAGTCTTGCTTGTTTTATTTTGGCTAGAATAAAAGCTATTTTTATTTTTTTAAAGCCATATTAAGGTCAAAATTATCAGCCCTTTCAAGCTAATTCTGACTTCACTGTATATCCACTCAACATAATTAGGCTAACTAGGCTGGTTCGGGTAATTAGGAAAGTTATTGTATAACAATGGTTTGTTCTGTAGACTATAGAGAAAAATATATAGCTTAAAGGGGCTAATAATATTGTCTTTAAAATGGTTCTTTAAAAAATAAAAAATGCTTTTATTGTAGCTGAAATAAAACAAATGACTTTCTACAAAAGAAAAAAATATTGTCAGACATACTGTAAAAATACTGTATATAAGCAATCATTATAAAGTAGTATATTTTGATTTAAAAAATGTCGGAATTAGCTGGCATTCATATTTAAATCAAAGCATAACTATTGATAAGGATAATTTATAATACGTAATTGTTATGATTTATATTATTATTTTTTTATATTATCAATCTGTTCCCCTCAGCACTTACTGCATTTTGAAACCTGTAAAAACAAAGATGTTTCTGTTGTCCCTAGTGTTTCACAGCCATATGATGCATCTAATGAATAATCTAATTGAGCTTGTCTTTGATGTGATCTCTTTGCAGAAGAGCCCCGTCCAACTAAGCAAATGGGGCTTTTTGACAAGCTTGCAGGATGGCTGGGCCTAAAGAAGAAGGAAGTAAACGTGCTGTGTTTGGGTCTGGACAACAGTGGAAAAACTACCATCATCAACCAGCTAAAACCATCCAATGTATGCCTGTAGACACAATATGACTTTTCCTTTTCCTTTCTGTTCTTTGATTTCTGTTTTAAGTGTGCACTCACTGTGACATTGTGATACCTATTATTTGTGTTCCTTGCAGGCTCAGGCTCAAGACATTGTCCCAACTATAGGATTCAGCATAGAAAAGTTTAAGACCTCAAGGTGAAAATAAAAGATGTATAGTTTGATGGAATATCTGTGTTAAAAGTTGTTTCACTTCAATTAATTTTTTTTTTCCAAGACTGCCTTTAATCCTGGGTAAACAAAGTATACAATACATATATATATATATATATATATATATATATATATATATATATATATATATATATATATATATATATATATATATACACACACACACACACACAACCCAACCCTTAATTGGATAGATCACCCCTAAAAATTTACATTTCCGCACACTCAGGAAGTTCTAATCTTTCATGATTTTCCTCTGTTGAACATATAAGATAATATTAAGAACTATGTGGGGGAAACCAGCAATCGACATTTATAGTAAGAACAAAAAAATACAATGGAAATAAATAAAAAAAATTTTCCTCCAACATTCTTCAATACATATTCCATTGTGTTCAACAGAAGAAATTCAAACAATTTTGGAGGGTAGAGGGTAAATGATGGCAGAATTAAAATTTTTGGGTGAACTGTCCTTTGAGGCACAATGTGAAAAGCCCCATATTTGTAATGTTTCCAAATTTTACTAACACAGCTTCTCTCCCCAAAGTCTTTCTTTCACAGTGTTTGACATGTCAGGACAGGGAAGATACAGAAATCTGTGGGAACACTATTACAAGTAAGCTTATCTGATAATATTGAGAAAGCAGAGTGCCGTCAGCCATTTTGGAATGAAGCTGTGTGACTTGCATGCATCTGTTGTGTTTTTGTTTTTTTTTCAGGGAGGGGCAGGCCATCATATTTGTGATTGACAGTGGAGATAAACTTAGAATGGTAGTGGCAAAAGAGGAACTGGATACCCTTTTGAATCACCCTGGTACACCTTGCTTTTCTTGAATTTGTTTTCTAGTAATCATTTTCAGATCTGATTTAAAATCATCCTAATTCTTAATCACATTTGCCTTTGTGAATGTACACAGATATTAAGCACAGGAGAATACCTTTACTCTTTTTCGCCAACAAGATGGACCTCAGGGATGCTTTGTCAGCAGTAAAGGTCTCCCAGCTTTTGTGTCTGGAAAACATTAAGGACAAGCCATGGCATATCTGGTAGGAAAGCAAAACATTTATTTCTGTAAGATTGTTAAAGCCCATTTACACCAAGAACAAAACGAGTAACAATAACTAAACATCTTAAACATCAGTTTTGTCATCTGCTGGTTTAAATGCTCTACTGACATAATATATTTTGTACTGGCTGCTTAACGGCGCACTCACATTAGATACAGTTGCCTTGAACCGTGCCAAAGCATGATTGTTTACCATCCTCTCTCCCCTTCGGCCTGCACTCACATTGCATTTTTACCTACCGGACATGAGCACGCTTACATCTTCGATGATTACATTTGTAATAAACCATGACAGTTTGCGTTCGTTGAAAATTAAGAATGATTAATAAATCCACATGAAATAGTCACCTAAAAGTCACATTGCATCCTTAGATTCAGGCTCAGGCACGCTTTGGCACACCTATTCCAGCCGGGCCAGGGCCGACCAACTGAACCGCGCCTGAGCCCAATTGAAGGAACTCACACTTCTCGAACGAATCGGGAAACGCACCTGGGCATGGTTCGGATAGCATAGTGTGAGTGCGCCATCAGTTTTAATTAGCTACAATAATCTCAAACTGGCTCTAATGATTGTTTCACTGTACCATAAATTTTGGTAGATACTGGCAGATACTATGGAAGCCCATTACCACCACTGAATAAAAAAATATATAAACAAATAAAATAAAATAAAAACTATAAAGTCGCAATTCTGCATTATAAAGTCAGAATTCCAAGCTATAAAGTCAGAATTTCAAGCTATAAAGTCAGAATTTTGAGTTATAAAATCAGAATTCTGAGTTTTAAAGTCAGAATTGCGAGTTATAAAGTCAGAATTGCGAGTTATAAAGTCAGAATTCTGAGTTATAAAGTATTTTTTTATAATTAAATGATTTATATTTTTATTATTCAGTGGCAGTTTCAGTCTTCCGTAAGATACTGGAGAACCTGACAATAAAAAAAAAATATTTAAAAAAAAAAAGGTCAATTTTATTCTGATGTCACCTTGAATGATGGGGTGGGGCATGTCAGATACTAGAGAGCATTTGATTGGTTATGATTTGATGAGAAACTGAATCCATTTAGGCAGAAGTGACAAACTGCAAGCTTTACATGCAGGGTTCAACGCTAAGGATTTTTTCTACTGGCCCAATCGGACCAGTAGTTCAGATTTTTACTTGCCCTTCCAATATTTTCACTGGCCCTACCAAAAAAAAGTCAATAGTTATTCCTTAGCCACAAATTTAAAAAAGAAATGTGTCAAAATGTTTGTAAATCTAGAATTTAATTATTTAAAAAATGTTAATAAATGTGTAATGAGCAAAATTCAAAGTGTTTTGCAAACAAAAGTAGCAAAATGTGCAGGTATTTTATTGCAAAACAAAAGATGACTCACCTGCCAAACTGACGGCAAACTGTAGAAAACATCACTTCATTTTTTTAGTCGTGGCGTACCCTCATAAACGTTTGCTTCCAAGACATTAAAAACAAATATTTTCCTTTAGCATCATCACTTGATGTTGCCACCATGTTGCTGTCTCTTCGCTGTACTGGTTGTTACGAAAAAAATAACATGCTCACAATATCCAATCAGATAAGAGGAACCGAGAAGGTAGCATTTGAAGACTTAAAAACGCAAACGGTTTCTCTATTCTGACTGTTTTTTTCACGCAATTGACAAATAGCCACAGGCAAATTAAACTTTAGTGACAGGGCATCAGTGGCCCGATCGGGCCAGTAACGATCCTGTCTACTGTCCCGAGCATCTCACACGCTGGCCCCGGGCCATCGGGCAGTCCTTATTGTTGAGCCCTGACATGTGATTTTTTTTTTTCACTGTTTTGGAGTCTACTTGCTTATAGATATATTTAAAACTAACCATACTAATACTAACATCTAAAAATATTTTTATTTCATGGGACCTTTAAACTAAACCCCAACAGATAATTGGAAAATCAGTTGTGGATTTGTTTAATAATTGCAACAAATTCAAAAGATTAAATAAACACTATATATTTGATTAACTAAATTTCAAGCATTATCTACTAAGATTAACTATGCTAGAATAAAATATAAAGAATTTTTGATATTTGACATTTTTATATTTTTCACAGATATAGAAATCATTTTGATAATATATTCTTTTAAAAATGCAAAGAAAACATTCAGTTTACATATATTGTTAAATGGTTCTTAAAACTTTATCTTCAGTTTTGTAATTATTGTCTTTGGGGTAAATAGACATTAAAGCTGTGGTTTGTTTGCACTAAATATTTTTTTTTTGTGTGTGTCATGGTTGCAGTATATAAACAGTGTATGAGTTACATTTAATAACCTTGAGATTGAGATTACAGATATGAATTACCAAGATGGTCTGTCTGTATCTATGTGGGCGAAATGGGAGGTCATTTAAAATAAACAAGGTTTATGCAAGTGAAATAATTTAATTGTTATGCCTGTAATTAAGGGAATTCTTTAATTAGATTTCATAATTAAGGAACTCTCATTATTAACTAAATTGTCTTTATACATTGATTAAAGATGTTAGCAGTACATAAATCACCAAGTTAATGCACCAGAAGCAAATCACAGATTTAACTTTAGTTACGGTATTCAATAAATGTCATAATAAATGGAGAAAAAAAAAAAGGTATTACATACCACAGTGACAAGCATTCCTATCTAGATGGAATTGGATTTCTCTGAGGAACACCCCGAGCCGGCCAGGATAGGTAATTTGCTCTTTAATTTTTACAAAGGTTGCATGAAATCAACACAGACGTGTTAAATTCAGACGGGAATAACACAAAGTGTGTCTGTGACAAATTTACTTAATCTCCTGAGGGTAAAACCTGTCCTTTCTGAATGCATTTTGTTTTTCATTGTAGGCTTAGCTTTAGACGTCTAGATCATCATGAGATTGCTCTTTTAGAGGGCCAGCTATGGTCGCATGTTTCATATTACTATTAGAATTCCTATTCCTAGAACTAATATTATTATTAGTGTTCCCATATCCATAGTTCCAGTGAACATTCACAAGTAGCATCTCAGACGTGTGTAGTTAACAGTACAGCTCTAATCCTATGGTTACATGTACATTCAGTGCCAACACTTGTTTTTATGGAAGCCCCAACTTTTTCCAAGATGATATAATGTGTAAAAGATATCATTTAAACAATGTTTACTGTTACTTTCGATCAATTTAATGTACATTCTGAATAAAAGTGAACATTTCCAGTACAGTATTGTAAACTACATGTAAAAAAAGGACTAGAGGCAAAATAATTATGTGAATTTTTTTTTTTCAAATATTACTGCTGTTTAACAGAGCAAAGGATTTTTTTTTCAGTTATATTTTTCTTTTAGATTAAGTTATATTTATTTTAGTTTGGTTGGAATAGAAGCATTCTTACATTTTTTTTAACATTTTTTTTATTTAAGAAATTTTCTTTTCAATGACCACTGTTGTTCAATGACTCGTCTCTTTTATTTATTTATTTATTTTTTAATTTAACGATTATTATTATTATTATTATTATTATCATCATCATCATCATTTAAATACGTTTTATTTATTTATTTATTTTACAGTGCTAGTGATGCAGTGAAAGGAGAAGGTCTTCTAGAGGGTGTAGACTGGCTGCAAGGTAAATGCATTACATGCTTTGTGCATCTGATTTGTCATGTATTCTTAGGCCCCGTTTACACTAGTGCGTTTTAGTTTTAAAACGGCGTTTTAGAATGAAAACGATCCGCGTCCACACTCGCGTTTTACCCAGCATTTCTGAACAGCTCTCCGTCTACACTAAAACGCTGAAAACGCACATCACGTGACCACACACACACTCTTTGGCAAGCGCTGCAGCCCATCTACCCAGATGAGAGCTCTGCTAGTCGGACTTCTCATCAAGCATCTCCCGCTGGATCTATTCTCACTATATTTATTAAACAGGATATTTCATTCATCTTGTTGTCTTTATCTAACGACATGTTCCCCGATTTTGGTCCTATTACTTGTTCTCAGGTAACGTGTTTTGGCTGAGCGCAAAGATAAGTTAATGATTAATTTAAGCAAGTACATTCTGTATATTGACTGATCGCTTGCCTTTATTTCCTATAATGTATAAACTTATTGTATGTTATACTTTTATAATGGCCATTATCGATTATTAAAACTGATATTCAGCAAAAGAGAGGGTGTGTTTCGTATTTTGACTGAAATTGAGAGGCAGTTGTTATCGGCTCCGTTTTGTTATAAATATCCACACAGTGAAGATGACGCTCATATATGCAGCACGGCGCCTCAACATTTCTGCTGTCTGTTTAGTTGTTAATATTAAAATGAAAATAGGCAGTTCCTTTTATCATGTTTAGATTTTATTGTTGAGAAAGTGAAACAACGTAGCCAAGGTGATGTGAATGAAGTTATAAAGTACACTGTTCCCTTTAAAGATTTACCCGTGTCCTCGTTATAGTCTGTTTTCCATATCAAACTGAAAAGAAAAGACTGCAGCCTTGATCAAACTTGCGAAGTCTGAACTTACAGGGAGAAGATGCAAGACTGAACTGTGTGTGTTAGGCTACTTAATATTGAGGAAAAGCCCCAATCAGAGAGGCGAATGTCTGCAGCCCCGCCTCCGTTTTCAGATGTCTCCGTTTTCCATCATCCACACTGAGACGGAGCAGCAGCATTTCAGAATGAAAACAGCCTCTCCAGTGTTTTCGAAACGCTCTGTTTCCGGCGTTTGAGAACTCCGGCGTATTGTGGACGGATGGCGTAACCGTAGCAAAACTTATGCGTTTTCAAACTAAAACGCATTAGTGTAAACGGGGCCTTAAATTGTTTCTTTATAGCAGGGGTGCCCAAACTCGGTCCTGGATGGTCAGTGTCCTGCAGATTTTAGCTCCAACTTGACTCAACACACCTGCACAGATGTTTCTAGAAAGCCTAGTAAGAGCTTAATTAGTTAGCCCAGGTGAGTCTAATTGGGGTTGGAACTAAACGTTGCAGGACACCGGCACTCAAAGACCGAGTTTGGGCACCCTTGCTTTAGAGACTAGTGAAAGGACTATTTAGGAAGGGTCTCAAATAAACATATTTTAAAATATTAAATACCATTTCTACTCTTGTGCTCTGTTTTATCCATAGAACAAATTGCACTGTAAGTACTGAAGCTGAAATTCCCAGATGTGTTGTGATTGTTGTTTATTAATAGAGTTTCTTTAGGAACTCGCATCTTGGCTGTATGTATTCTTGCACCATTTAATGTCTCTTTGGCCTTTTGGGCAATTTTCAAAAGCAAATAAACCTTTTTGAGGTTTTTTAAAGATTAGATACAGCCCAAATTGATGCAAAAAATTTTCAGACCCCTATTTTTCTTGATGTTTGAGGTGTATTTGAAGATTCTGATAAGTGTAGATTATAAAAGTTTACAGATGTCTGTCGTCTTACACTCAATAGTTTATTGTTTGTCCCATCCCCACCTTCTCCCCACTCCAAAAAAAAAAAATCCAGCAACTATGTTGTAACCTGTTTATAAAAAATAACGTTGTTTTGATTTTCTCCTCTCATTTGCAGATCAAATCAGAGCGATGAAAACGTAAAACCCTCCTGAAAGAAAAAAAATAAAATAACCTCCAAGGTCACCTGTTACAATGGCAAAACCTGACAAAACCAGATCTTCAGCTTTGGGCACAATGACAGTGTGTGTGAATTTAAAATCAGTTCAGTTTTACTGTAATAAAGACACTGTGTAGCTTGATTATGACCCTATTTGCACCAACTGTCAATGTCTCAATTGATCACAAATGGTTAGTTGAGAAATCTTTGTAAATCTCATCACAAAAGTTATTGATTATTATTTATTAGCAGGTTCTCTGTTGTTTAGCATATATAAGCACACTAAAGAGTTAACAATAAAAATGCATTTCTGACTACCACCTCTAAAAAAAATGTTCGGTACCCTTTTTATCCAGTGTGGTTTTATCCAGGGGCTGTTCACAATTGGCATCTTTTGTTCGTGCAAGTTCGTTATTTCCAAAGTAGGCGATGTACTTTGCTAGTCCAGGCACACCGCCTTAAAAACATCTTAACTTTTCAGAATGCTGCTAGTGTACATGACAAGAACTGACCAATCAGCTTCTTACTTTGTATAGAAAAAATCACATTTCTGTAGTTTAATTACCTCAGACAAACACAGAACACACACACACTGCAGCACTTTTTAATTTTCTCAATAAATAATACTTGTATCAGAGCTGCAGCAATGTTTTGTCAGTTCGTCATCCCAGCAACGGCAGATGGACATTGAAACGCGAGTGCAAAACATGTTTGAAAATAGTGAAGGAAGTGATGTGCCTCACGCTTTCCATGCAATTTTAGACACAAAAGATGAATAGCCCCTAACTCAGTTCTGACATGTTTTACTCATCTGAGCTGGGGTGTAAATTGGTCTGTGACACTATATAAATGTTCCATAACATCCTAAAAATATGAACGCTATACGTCTTGCCTACCAATGCTGCAGAAATGTGTTTCTCGACTTCATTTTTGTGGGCCCCAACACTGCACATTTTGCACGTCTTCTTAATTATACACAACTGATTTAACTCATTAGCTCATTGGAGACTCCAAGAGCTGAAATAGTTGTGTCGGGTTCATAAGACATGTAAACTGTACCGTTTTAGGGGGGGTCTCCAGAAACATGAATGAAAAGCATTTGTGTAGAGTGATTCTGCTGAGAGAGCAAGATGAATTGTAATCACCTATGAATTGATTTAAAATATTAGCAGACTAATCTTTTTTTTTTTTTTATCTTAGCTATGTGCGTTTATAAATCAATTAAAATTACTTATGAGCACTGTTCATTTCATCGCTCTAGAATGTAAAATCAGTCAAAGCTTGTTACTGTAGTAATGTTATGTACAGTAGTAATATTTACTTACTATTTTGCTATGATAAACTATTCATGCATTGCACGCATGTTGCCTCTGAACCGTTTAATTATAACAGTGTTGTTCTTTTGTTGTAGTTTTTTTTTTTTTTTTTTTTTTTTAGTGTGACTGCTTAAACTGTCAAAAAGGACACATTCCTCTTTGTTCTGGATTTATTTTTTTCCCAATATCAGGTGTGTTTTAAATGGAATGGTTGATGCATTTTTTGTCATTTTATTTCGATTTTACAAATGTATTTATTTTCTAAACATTTCACTGAAATTTTGCAGTTCCTTTCTTGCTGTTTTTATTCAACATTAAGGGTTCTTGTAATAGCACATGTAAAGAATAAACAGAAATGTTGGGGCTTAGATTCTGTGTGACGTGGATCTTTTTATTATTTGTTCTCGCTCACACTCTGTTCTGTATAGACACAAATATTTACTCACAAGCATAAATACAAAGACACCTGTTTCGAGAAAAGTGCATGTTTGTTTTATAATTTACTTATTGCATGACTGAAAAATGTCAATAAATAAAATTGTATTTATTTGAGAAATAGTTTGATATTAAATATTCCATTCTGTTAAGGGAATATACTGTGTGTGTGTGTGTGTGTGTGTGTGTGTGTGTGTGTGTGTGTGTGTGTGTGTGTGTGTGTGTGTGTGTGTGTGTGTGTGTGTGTGTGTGTGTGTGTGTGTGTGTGTGTGTGTGTGTGTGTGTGTGTGTGTGTGTGTGTGTGTGTGTGTGTGTGTGTGTGTGTGTGTGTGTGTATTTTCCCCTCAATAATCAATGTCTGAAAACATGGGATATTTTATATTGACCTGCTCTCAGTTCTCAAATACATTTTTTAAAAGATAATTTACCTTTCAGAGATTTTAAGTGACTGAAACTGAACTGAACTGAAATCGGTCATTTGTGTGAATAGGTCATTTTTGCCTATTCATCTAGTATTTGACGGTTTTAGTAGTGGCTATCATACTAGTAAAACAGTGATTTATAAAATAAATGAGAAACACTTTACTTTGTGGAAAACACATGGTTCAAAACAAGAGAACATAACGACTAAAGAATTAAGAAAAATTAAAACAAATTCAGAATATGTTTTTATTAATTGAGCAATACTAACTGTGACTGGTTGCTAGTCGGGGAGCCTCTGGGCAGTTCGTGGCCAGTGAAAGCTGCTATAATGGAGTCCAGACCTCTCAAACAATGAATCTAAAGGTGTGACAACACAACATTAGCAACCATGTAACAAGTACAAGTACTAGCATGTCATTAAATCCTTCAAACGATTTATTCAGAAACAATGTGAAATACAACAATTATGCAGCTTTGGCTTAGTTTAGTACTATTTCAAAGACAAAAAAAAAGCAAATTTTTGCCTAAAATAAAAGTCGTTCACTCTATTTTTATATGGTTAACCGCAGTATTACTCTTGCAATTGTGTGGTTGTTTTGTTGATATTGCTAAAATCATAATCATATACACATAATTAAATAAGATGAAACTCCAGCTGAAGTCTCTAATGAGAGCATTAAGCAATCTTGGCGCCACTAAGTATTTCAGTTGCTGGAAAAGACATAAATGTGCGCAAAACCATAAAACCGGCAGATGGCCCTATGGTTGGATGAGATTCTGCCGTTTTCAGTCGTATGACCATGCTGATGTTTTGGTCTTAATGAGCAGGGGCATTAGATTTTCCATAACTATAATCATGGCCACGGTTCAGCCCATAACAGCTGTCCCTCACACAGTTCACAGAGTAATATCTGACAAGAATTTTTTTTTTTTTTTTTTTTTTTAATACAAGGATGTAGCTCTGGCACCTTTGCATTAAATGATCAGCTGACTATTGGAAAAAAATATATAATAATAATGGTTTGAGTAAAGTTGTATATTCAAGAAACCAATCTGCGATGATTTGAGCTGATATGTATTTCAGCTGAAAGCAGGCATCACAAGATGGGCACACTGTGCTCATAAAGAGATAGACATTATAAGCAGCAGTACTTCGGCAGACTATGGTGTTTAAACAATTCTCAGTTGAAATCAAATTACTACAGGTGTGCTGCATATCTCCCACACCATTATAGAAGCAGCAGCCTAAACGTTTCATACATGACAGGATAGATTCATGCTTTGTTGTTAATCATTTGAATGTTGGTGCAGAAATCAAGACTCATCATACAAAGGAAACTTTTCAATCTTCTATTAAAGCAACAACCACTAAGAAACTGTGGTTTATAGTGAATTTAAAACAGCTAAGTTCGATATTGGACATAATGCAGAACAGAGTGCCTAAACCCCTATTAGCTGTTGCAAATTCACTATACACTACAGCTTCATGTTGATTATTCTATAAAAGTGTTATTTCTTAACAGGTAAAGAAAAAAGAAAAAAAAAAGAAAATTAACATAACATAACAACAGCGTATAATTCTAGAGTCACTTATGACAGCTTAAATGCAGCAAAACGACTCAGAATCAAGAACTGGAACAATACTTTTTTCTTTTTTTTTTTATAATTTTCTATTTTATATGAGCCTGTGAATATGTAGCCTCAGTTTGCAGTTCTTAGCAGATATTGGTTTTCTGCTGCTGTTGCACACCTGCTTTAAGGTTTCAGTGGGTTTTGTATTCTCAGACTCTTGCTGTTATGCGAGTTATTGTTTACCTCTGGTAAAAGCAAGGAACTTTCACACTATTTTCTTATTTTTAACCAATATCTGTTAACCCTAGAGGTGTTTGCATGTGACAATGACAGTAAATCAGCAGTTTAAGAAATACACAGACCAGTCTGTCTCACACCAATGCTACTTACAACTAATTACTTCAAATCCATTTCTTTCCCCAATTCTGATTTAGTATGAACTTCAATAGATAGCTATGATCATGAATTCAGAACTGCATAGTAGCCACAACTAATAATCTTTAAATTTTGATGTAGATTCCAAAAAAAGAAAGAAATCAACACCGTAGAAAGAGATCAGTTACTTTACTTTAAAAAAGTGAGTAAACCCATTGACTTCAATAATTGAAAAATATTGCAGATGGCTTAACATTATCAAAAATTGTGATAATGTTAAGGCATTCTTTAAAAAAAGGCACTAAGTATTATGTGTTTCTCAGTTGTCAGTTTAGAGATGACAGAATTATGATTGTTGGATGAGCTTTCCTATTAAAAAACAAAACAAAAAAAAATCAGTAGGCTATTTCCATCAGCCGTCTGGTGCCAATGCAGTGTAGGGACAGCACCAGAGACATTCTGTTCAGTTCCGAGAAAAAGTGACAGCAGATCTAAAACACGGCGCCGCAGCGGAGACTCCCTGACTCTGATCTCCGCGCGCAGTAGACTCGGTTCGTCCCGTTAAATCGTGCGTGACAGACGTGACGTTGACGCGGGACCCTGTTGCTCATAAGTGCCTATTGCTTTGCAGGTTTCTGTCTCTTAGTGAACATCGCTTCAAGATTCATATTCTCTGCTGCTACAGTCCGTAAACAAAACAGTGTACATTTTCTTTTAAAGACGAACTGAGTAGACCTATAATATACATCATCCATTACAAACGGACGATCTAAATTAAACTTCCGTGCACAGCTATGGCAAGCCATTTTAGCATTCAACCTACAAAACGCAGGCTAGCATCTAACATTCCAGCCTGATCTCACGAGAAAACGTAAGTATTTTAGGTTTTGCAAGTTTAGTGGCTAATTCGTACGAGCAGTTGTACGAAATTGTACGATTTTAAAAAGAAGCACCTAACCCCACCCCTAAACCCAACCGTCATTGGGTGTTGATCAAATCGTACCAAATTGTATGAATTAGATCGTACGAATTCATACAAATTAGCCACTAAATCAAAAAGTTACGAATTGCCATGAGATTATGTTGAACATTCTGCTTCTAGTTTAATGGCCCCTTTCCACTGACTGGTACAGTACGTTATGGTATGGGTCACCTTTATCAGGCTTACGTTTCCACTGCCAAAAGGGTACCAATAGTAATCTTTTAGGTGGGCATGGTGTATGACAGAAAGTTTTACTCAACGTCGTTCTCGCTCAAGGAAATGTCTACAGTAAAGCTGTACGGGTCGTTCACATATAAAAGACTATGAGAAGCACTTCTCACAAAAACAGATGCTTTATACACATAAATACTTGTAAATGTTGATTACTAACCTTTTTATGAATATGGTTTGATTTTAACTGCAGATCAATGATGCAAAATGGCCTGCTGTAACGTCTGTAATCAATTATATAAAATAAATAAATAAATGTGGCATATATGAACACATATAGACCCTAAAACTCTCTGATATGTTACCAATTACAGAAAAACTACACACAGCATTTAGTCCTTATTTGGGTCCAAAAAGACACGCAACATGTAACCCAGAGTCAGAGTAAACCTCTCATCTGTATCTTTAATCTTCACCAACAAATGTAACCTCTTGTTGGAAAGTAATTACTTAATTCTGAGTTCACCAGGCACGTGCACACATAGGGCTCAACCTGTGCAGTGCACATGCCCTTTTTAGTCTTGGATAGAAAGTGCCCTTCCAAAATTATCAAAAGTGTCCCTGCGACACCCCCCCACCAACCACCCCCCTCCCCTCTACCGCCCTTTAGTAGGCGCGCGACAACACCGCTCTTGAGTATGCGTGCTACCCCCCGCTGATCAGAACGCGCGCGACAACAACACATACAGTATGTGTATATTATTACGGTGTAATCTCTCGCCTGTGCATTTAAAACATGGCGGTTCCTTTGTTTTCATTCTGACTTGTTGCACGAGTGAGTGACATTTCTCCGTAAACCAATAACATTCATTTGCTTGTCTTGCTTTGTTTTTTAGTATACCTTTTTGTTGGGCTAGGTAGTCTTTGCAAAGGGTACCCAAAAAGTGGTACGGTACAGTTCGCTTTTGGGTACCTTTTGACAGTGGAAATGGCCATAAAAGCATACCAAGTGAACCATACCGTACAAATCAGTGGAAACGAGCAATTAGGGTGTAATGGTACATTGATATGGATTGATTTTTCGATCTAATAACAAAATGTGACATATCACTTATCACTTTTCATAAATATTAATTTATTATATTTTTCTATATATAAAAATATTTTTTTATGAATGATACAATATCCCTGCCGAAAAAAAAAAAAAAAGAAAACTGCTTCAACACAGCTCAAAAAAGTTGAGCTCTGGTTAAAATACTTTTGACAACCCTACTAGTAGTTTGAAAATAGATAGTAGTACGGATTATAAAATAAATGTCAAAACGGCTTGCCATACACAACAGTGAGAAGAATCTGATGACTATTTCTAGATGTAAATCCATTCTGCCGCTAGGTGGCAGCAGTGTAATATGCATATTTGAAAGCCACAACAGGTGATACATAAGTGATACATACAAAATATAAATGCTTGCCTTTCTTGCCTTTTCCCCCGTTTTCTTTAAAATAATCATGCATTTATCTTCTTCAGGAACATATTGACTGAGTCACAGTGATTACATGCCTGCCTTTTATTAGTTCACCACTGTGCACCTTGCTAGGCTATGTGTAAACACCATTTTTAATTGAATATGCTTTTCTGTTGTTATCATTGCTGACAGTTTTGTCAAATGTGCTGTTCATTTGTGCATGAAAAACTGCATGTTCATCTCTCAACGACATACTTCAAAGAACACGAAACAGATGTGAAGTGAGCTCATTAGCTGAGCAAAATCTGCGCACCGTGACTCTTCCATGCACAAGGGATCTAGAAGAAACATCAAGATAAGATTGTTTATTTAAAGGGATTCCAGATAAACATCTAAAATACCTAATAATAATTCTACCTGACTTTTTTTCTATTACCGTCTTTAAACAAACATCCAGACTAACAATCTTTTCAGAAAAATGCCAGATTTCTAACTTTTTTCAGAACCTGTGCCAGAAAATGATACATCTTAACCAAGCCTTTTCTAAACTACAAAGAACTTCAACATCTGTACAGGAAGTATATGCTCAATCCAGTCTGCTTATAATTGGGGCTCACTTGGCAAGCTGTCAAAATGTTACCAGTTAAATTAGTTGGGGTATCGGTGTAGGCCTGCAAGATATCTGGCTCCTTTTGCTAATAAATTGGCTCATTTGGAGAGTAGCATTCTCTCTTTTAACACATATTTATTTCTTAAGGAAGTTAATCACATTTTATTTAGAATAGCCTGTGTATACACCTCTGCTTATATTAAACAGGTTGTCAAACTTGCAGAGGTGCAATTAGAGTCCAAAAACCTGCAGTCTGGTGGGAAGCCTGTCTTGTGTTGAATATATGTGAAAGCTTGCACGATCAGACTGGATACCAAAAAAAGAAAGAAGAAAAAAAATATTAATGCATTAATTCTATAGCCATAATTCATAATGGTGATTTAGAAGTGATCAAATTCTTAGTTAATTTCATTTAATAATTCATTCATTTGTTTTAACTCTGTATTGTTTCCTCTAAATTATTGATAAATTGACTAATTGTAACAAGAGTAAACATTATCTACTACTTTGTCATTTCAGAAAACTAATTCTAATGACATGTACCCTAAACAACGCATATTATGCAAAATCCAATCATATTCTTGATGAACAGTTTTTTCATTTTTTTATTTATTAATTTATTTATTTTCACTTTTTGATCAGGAATCTCAACATTTATAAGATTATATCATAAAAAAAATTGTTCTGATGTTAACTGATATAATATTATTGTCTTAAAAGAATAGCTATCTAAATCATTGTATAGCGTTAAATATCATGATAGTTATATTTAGAATAATATCTTTTATTTATATACACTTCCTGACAAAAGTATTTTCATTGATCCCAGTTGTAAGATCAACAAATAATAACTTGACTTCTAGTTGATCATTTGGAAAAGTGGCAGAAGGTAAATTTTTCAGATGAATCATCTGTTGAACTGCATTCCAGTCATCACCAACACTGCAGAAGACCTATTGAAACCCGCACGGACCCAAGATTAGTCAAGTTTGGTAAAGGAAAAATCATGGTTTGGGGTTACATTCAGTATGGGAGCGTGTGATTTGTGCTGCCCATTACATTACAAACCATAGGAGAGAGCAAATTCTTTAGCAGGATTACGCTCCTCCTTATACTTCACCCTCCACATCAAAATTCCTGAAAGAAAAGAAGGTCAAGGTGCTCCAGGATTGGCCAGCTCAGTCACCAGACATAAACATTTTGAGCCTGTCTGGGGTAAGATGGAGGAGAAGGCATTGAAGAGTCCTTTAAAAATCCTGCAAGGATGTTTTCTTTGCCATTTCAGATGACTTTATTAATAAATTATTTGTGTCATTGCAGAGATTTATGGATGCTGTCATCCAAGTTCATATGAGTGATACACAATATTCATTCTTTTTCCACTGCACCATGACTTTATATATCTATACTGTACATTATTTCTGTTAAGTGACAAGACTTCTGTCAAATCGAAGATAGACCTCACTGTTCTAATTAAATAATTAAAAATCAAGGCACACTCATATTTTATTTTGGTAAAATGACAAATAAGCGTAATCTAGAGGCCTTTGCCTTTTATAAAGTACTTCTGATCCCAAAAGATCATCTAGAAGTCAAGTTATTATTTGTTGTTTCTAAAACTTGGATAGGTGACAAGTGACAGTGTAGTTATGAGGGATTTGCGGACCAGCATTTTCAGATTATTGTAATAAATGTTTTTTTTTTTTTTTTTTTATGTGAATATATTAATATACTGGTGTTAGACAACAGCCCCAGAATTGGCACAGAAGGTACACGTCATGTTGTTACTAGTTTTATATAGTAGTTTCTACGATGTCATATCTTCAATAAAATATATGTAGATTTACATATGCCTATGACTTGTAGAATCATTTTCACCTACAACTTAAACCTTTACTTGGATTGTATTTAGTTATTCAATCATTAAACTAAGTTGCAATGAATAGGTAGCTGATTTAATGTTAAAATACTCACTTCGGCTTATTCCCTGGTTTATCAGGGGTCGACACAGGAATTAATTGCTAATTTCACTGAAATTGTTCTGTTTGGTTAATGTTTGACATTTTGTGCTATGCCAACTAATAGCAAAAGTGTATGTGTGTTTCTCATAAAAAATGTACTGCCTTATGTCTCTTCATCCTGCATGTTACAGGTTAAACATAAATCTACATGTTTTTAAGGTGGACATCTTCCACCATTTTGTTTAATTATATACTGTCAAGGAGTGACTTGTTTTATTCTTTGAAGTAACACTGCATTAGCAGCATGGATATTAGAAGTAGTACCAAGTCAGGCCACTAGAAAGGTAGCTAACAGCATGAAAGCATGAAATTGTATTAAGCCATTGGCTTAATTATTTGCTTATTTAAGAAAAAAAAAAACATCAAAACAAAACTATATATATCTGACATAAAACTTCTAGAGAGTTTGAAGTAGTATTTAGTTCTACTTATAACATTAGCTAACACTTTAGAACAGGTTTTCATTTTAGTCTAATATTTACAAAACAAAACAAAAGAGGAACACACATTAGCATTAATAATTACACCTGAAAAAAATGCTGGATTGTTGCTGACTTTGGGTCAAATATGGACAAACTTATTCTAAGGTCATTTTGTATTTTTATTTAATTAGCCTACATTTGTTACAATTGAAGAGTTTAGATGCAAAAGTGCCATCTGAAATTTTCATCTAAAATTAGCATTTTTCTCAGACTGTGTGTAGTTTCAATAATTTTACTCTTAGTGTAAAGAATATGATATTTTCATTCCAATTAAAGTGAAATAACTGAACAAAAACATAGGGGCTGAGAAAAATGCAAATTTTAGAGAAAAATGTCAGGTGGCACTTAGAGGTTTTTGCATCTAAACTCCTAAATTGTAACTCATTTGTTGGGTTATGTCCCTATTTAATCCACCACTCAAGCCTTATTACAATCTTAATAAATCATTTGGCGGAATGGGGGTTTGACATTATGTTAAACATTTACTTTTAAAAATAAAGGCTATTTATTTGCATGTAGGTTCCATTGAAACTTTCCATTTCACAAAAGATTCTTTAGATTTCTAATAGTTGCCTGCTTTTTAAAAGGGACTGTTTTATGAACTACTGACTAATCTTTTTTGATGGGGAAAATGGGTTATTTAATGATATCCCATTAAATATCCCCTTTTCAACCTTTACTTTTAAAGATTACAGTATTAAAGTGCTGTACAGTTTGTTCTTTTATTCACTCTACCCTTGATTTAGAAGCGTTTGTTTGGCGTTTAGCTTTTCTGCTGTTGGTGCGAGATTTGGTTTCAGCACTCTGGACAGCGCCTGTTCTTGCTGCTCCACCGTTGAGCGACTGCGCTTATACTCACAGAGACTGCCATAAAACACCAGTCAAGAGTAAATAAATAAATAAAAAACATGAATGGAACCAATATCTTGCACTACTCTTGATTTACAGCCTCTTTCCCCCCGTCTCGCGATTTTCAGTTGACTTGATAACCCCGAGTGACGCGCGGCTCATTTGCACGATCTGACATCTTTATTCATAAATAGCCCCCATTCACATCTCTCTGACGTCCATCGACCCTCTGACGAAACCTGCTCTTATAAGATTCACAGTAAGTTTGGCTCAGTCTGAAATGTGCTGGACTGCTCCTCTCCCGAGGCGATAGTGGGCTCTTTGTGCACTGTTGGTGGCACTTGAGTGGCTGTTGGCTGATTCAGAAGGTGAGGCACTTTTCTTATGATGTTGAATTCTGATATAATTGAGTGTGCTGCCCCGCACGCATATAAGAATAGCGAATCCTAGAAATGAGCATGCAATTTAACAAAGCTTGCTGATTAAAACCTGCAGATTCAAGAAACGTTTGCTTTTTCTTTTTTTTTCTTTTTTTCTTTTTTAAGTCCTGCGCAGCAACAGTTAATGCTTGATATATCTCAATATTTCAACATTGTACTGAGAAGCAAAAAAAAAAAAAAGAACATTTTATTTTTGTTTTCTTTATTTTATTAATCAATAAATTCATTTGTAATTCAAACTTTTTTAACCTAGGTCTCAATTTCTTTAGGTCTCGATGAATTTCGGTTCTTTAGAAATACAACGTCTTTAGCAGAGAGAGAAGATGAACATCCATGTGGAGGGGCTGGTGGCGATTGTCATCTTCTACCTGCTGATTTTGTTAGTGGGAATCTGGGCTGCATGGAAGAACAAGAACTCCGGCGTGATGGAGGGAACGGATCGCAGCGAGACTATTATGGTCGGCGGAAGAGATATTGGATTATTTGTCGGCGCATTTACCATGACTGGTGAGTTTCAGAGCTGAACTTAAAAAAAAAAAAAACTGCTTTCTATATTTTGCATGACACGAATGATGTTTTATTATTTTTACACTTTTATGCAATCATGCAATTATCTAACAAAATATTTTCTGTGTCTAAATAAATGAGATGCTATTAAAGATAAAAAAAAAACTGCACAAAAAACTTAACATCACATAATTTCTTATCAATATAAAAAATATTGTGCTGAATAAAGGTCTAAATAAATTTCACATATCTTATTTTCTACCTACAAATTTTGCCATATCGCTATATAGATAAGTAGATTACCCCCTCCCCCACATACAGACACACACACAAGCACACAAGTAATTAAATCGATAAATTTTAATAAATAGTTATATACATTAACGGAAAAAAGTGTCATAAATGCAAAACTTGATACTGTTCAAAACCTAAGATGTGTTCACAATATGTCAGAGCACAGTACAGTATGTTAGTCGTAAATTCACAATAAAGACGGGAAAGACTTTCTAATCTTATTTGCACGTGAATTAAAAACTGGCTAATTAGGCTAATTATTCATGTATGTAGAATTGTGTTGGTCAGTATCTTACTAGCCAGTTATGATTTGTTGCTATATATATATATATATATATATATATATATATATATATTGCACATACAGTGCTCAGCAAATGAGAGTACCCCCCCCCCCCCCCACCCACAAATCTCTTATTTAAATTACAATAAGCTTTACAATATTATATTGTTGCACATGCATTAGTTTAGTCAGTACTGAAGCCAAATCTGGAGATTACCTAACAAAATTACTTACAATCAAATTTTCTTATGGAAAAATATGAAATACAAATTATTAAAAAATAGCAAAAATCAAGAGAAACTAAATATACAAAGAATTCTGTTACAATTTTGTGGTTTGTAAATTTGTTTGCAATATTTTGCATGAATTTAAATGTATTATCTTTCCATTTCTAAAGATGTTCTGTGATCAGTAATCTATCTATCTATCTATCCATCCATCCATCCATCCATCCATCCATCCATCCATCCATCCATCTAAATGTTTATATTAACAATATGTTTTTCCAGCAACGTGGGTTGGTGGAGGTTACATCAATGGTACAGCAGAATATGTATATCTGCCCGGGTTCGGCTTGGCGTGGGCACAGGCTCCCTTCGGATATGCGCTTAGCCTTGTTTTGGGTATGTTGCGCATCTACGGCAGCTTTGATAAATCATCACAGAAACATAATTTCAGTCTTAAAGTAATTTCTGTCTATTGATTCATGTCAAGGTGGCCTTTTCTTTGCTAAGCCCATGCGCTCTCGGGGTTACGTCACCATGCTTGACCCCTTCCAGCAACTGTATGGAAAGCGGATGGGTGGTCTGCTGTTCATCCCTGCACTAATGGGGGAAATGTTCTGGTCAGCCGCAATCTTATCTGCCCTCGGTAAGAAAAAAAAAGGAGGAAAACAATTAATGTGTTTTACAAGCTCTCTCATCAATGTATAGGACAAATTCTACAAATACATTTTATAACATATTTAAACATAAGGCAAAACATTGTCGTGCATTGTTAAATTCAGAGATTTTTGGGTATTTTCCTTTTTTCTCAGTCTGATGGGAAGAAAACAGCAAAAACACACTTTTAGTGTCTCTTTTAAAGCACTTTATCAGTTTGAATTTGTTAATTTTAATTACAATACATATTTGTTTTCTCAGAATGTTTTTTTTTCATCTAAACAGAGCTATAAATCTCCACTTCAGCAGCTCTTACATACACCAAACTATTGTTTATTTAATGCATATTCTGAAGATTTTTACAATGATTAATTTCTGCAATTAATCAATCAATCAAATTAACTTTTAATGGCACTTAAAAAAAATTATTCACAGCAAGACCATCAATAAAACACAATTAAACCTTTTAAAAAGTGTCATAGTGCTACATGTGCTACATTTACACTGTCAACAATTTCCTGTAGAAGGGCAGCATTTTGCCAGTAACTTACTGTAAATAATTTACAACAAAAATATAGCATTTGTAGTAGGGCTGTGCAATATTAAAAAAATCGGATATTGTGATATTTTATTTTTCTATAATGGTTATTGCGATAACTGGGGTGATAAAAGAGGGTGGGTCCGTTCCTCTTTGTGGTGCCCCTGGAGACTCCCCACAGCAGTCCAGCTGTGGGGTGAGCTGAACACAGACCCCTTCTGGTGTCAGGCCCATATGACAGACCGGCCGGAAGGCATATATCAAAAAAAAGTCGGTATCATATGGACAAGTCTATTAAATCTCTAAATAATGCTTGGGCGTACACCGGATTCGACGCGGCTGGACAAGGCCCGGTGCAGCCGAAAAATGGACGAGGGTTCCCAATGCAAGGACAACACTGGGACACAAGTAAGCTAGTCCAAAGAAACAAGAATATTACCTGCGAGAACATGCGTATTGCATCCCTTCACATCGGAACACTAACTGGCAACACCGAAGAACTAGCAAAGATGCTACGGAAAAGACGAATTGACGTCTGCGAACTGCAAGAAACTAGATGGAGTGGCGCAAAATCTTATGACATGGAACGAGAACGCAGCACAAAGGGTTACAAGTTGCTCTACTATGGTAGCACGGCCACTCTTAATGGCCTGGGCATTGCCATCTCTGAGCGATTTCGCGATATTATCAAGGAGGTAAACCGCTATGATGACCGACTCATGAAGATCACCATCATCAGGTCAGAAAGAACACACTTTCTCCTCCTATGTGCCGCAGGCCAGACGAAGTGACACTGAGAAAGATGCATTCTGCATTCATACCCGCACCGTCCCTGCTGATAATTATCTAGTGATCGCTGGCGATTTCAATGGTCACGTCGGTGAAACTGTGGATGGAAATCGGTTCCATGGGGGTAAAGGATATGGTCAGCGAAACAAAGATGGTGAGCGTATCATTGATTTTTCTAACTCGCATAACCTAGCCATTACCAATACATGGTTTATCAAAAGACCAACACAGCTCCTGACGTACTACAGCAATGACAACAAATCACAGATTGACTACGTCCTTGTGCGATGCCAACACATAACCACCATAACTAACGTAAAGGTTGTGCCATATGAAACAATCGCGACACAACACCGCCCTATCATCGCAGTTATAAACATCAAAGTACCTCAATAGCAGTGGGAAAACCGCACTGGTTTCGCTTCCGCGAGATGAAGGCAGAAATGATTCTACACGTACAACTACCTGACATAACGACAACCGAAGAAACGTGGAACCAAGTGAAACACGTCGTTCACTATGCGGCCCATAAGATGATTGGAGTCACCAAACCCGTAAACGTTTCATCAAGCATGACGGTTGGCTGTGGACCGATGATGTAAAGAGGAAAGTCCGTGAAAAAAAGAGACTTTACCATATTTTCCTCCATGACAATATGTTAATAAACTGGCAGAAATACAACAGTGCTAAATGCGATGCAAAGAAGGCTGTCGCGACTGCTCGGGCCGTTCACTATGCAGGAGTTCACAAGAAGCTAGACACCCGAGATGGTGAACACGACCTTTTGCGACTTGTCAAGCGTCGATACCAGCAGACGCAGGACATCGAAAAGTTTTATTGCATCAACGACACGGATGGAAAGCTGATTGTCAGCTGACGGGCTGTATTAGAAAGGTGGAGTGTATACTTTGAGCAAATCTCTACCGAAGAGTATTTCCCGTACCTCCAATTAGCACAGCAGAAGTCAAGGATACGATCAAGCAAATGAAAGCTGGAAAGGCAACCGGTCCAGATGACATAGCAGCAGAACTATGGAAGGCTGAGAGCTAGAACCCAGTGCCATGGCTAACTGACTTCTTTAACAAAGTCATTGAAGAACAAAGGACGCAAACCGACTGGCAGAATAGCACTACTGTGCCTATCTGGAAAAAAAAAGGGTGCCCCAGCTAAATGCTCAAATTACTGTTCTATCGGACTACTTTTGCACACAATGAAGATCTTTGAACGTGTTCTTGACAAGCGAATTCATGACATCGCAAGCACCACTATCAAACCAGGCGGGATTCGTCAAGGGATGTGGCACTACTGATGTCATCCACACTGTTCGCCTCCTGCTCGAGAAATATCAGGAGAAGCACCAGACCCTCCACATGGCCTTCCTCAACCTGGAGAAGGCTTTTGACTGGGTCCCACATGAGCTCTTCTGGTACGCTCTCAGCCAGCACCATGTGCCAGAGGAACTGGTCCGATGGGTCTAACTACTCTATTGTGAACCGAAAAGCCAAGTCAGAAACACAGCTGGAACGTCAAAACCATTTCAAGTCTCAGTAGGTGTACACCAAGGAAGCACCCTTTCTGTGCTTCTCTTAATTCTCACAATGGACATCATTACTCAAGACATTCAGCGTCCAGCGCCATACACAATACTCTATGTGATGACGTGTTCTTGGCCTCTAACAATAAGATTGACTTGGAGCAATTCGTCCAGACCTGGGATGAACGACTGGCACGACATGGCCTGCGACTAAATCTCAAGAAGACCGAGTACTTGACGACAAACCCGAAGAAAGATTGCACAATAAATGTCAGTGGCACCGACCACACATGAAATAATTAAAATCCCTCAGATCGGTGATTACAGCTGATGGTGACTTGCGACCTGAGATCACTGCGCGGATCAATGCCACATGGACAAAATGGCGTTCGACAACTGGCGTGCTCTGCGACCGTCAGATGAAGGATCATCTGAAATCGAAAGTCTACCAAGCAGTAATTCGTCCCGTCGCCCTGTATGGAGCTAAATGCTGGCTGATCACGAAGACTGCCAAACGACGTCTCGCTGTGATGGAAACGAAAATGCTGCGATTGAATCACCCGTTTTGATCATGTTTGCAATGATGACATCAGACAGCAATGTGGTGTAGCACCAATCAGGGACAAAATCAAAGAAGCCCACCTTCGGTGGAATGGCCACGCACTACGTGCAAGTGAATACTCTCTTGCAAAGACTGGCCTCAACATCAATGTTGAAGGAAAACATCCAAAAGGTCGTCCAAAGCAGCAATGGCTTGATACGCTACACGCCGACCTTGTCGCCACATGACTTCATCCTGACCAAGCCTTAAACTGCGACAAATGGAGGACTTGTTCCAAAAGAGCCGACCCCGTAACCATACGGGACTAAGGCCAAAGAAGAAGAGTTATTGCGATATAAATACAGTTTTTAGAAGATTATTTGAATAGTTCTATTTGATGATTTACTGGGGAGCTGAAGAGTATTAGGTACAAAAATTTATTAATCAAAAGGCTAAAAGCAATTCTTACTTTACAATTCTTTTGTTTTGTTTCTTGTCTAAATATCCAAGACCAAGTAAAAATATTGTTTAGTGTTCATCTTCAAACCAAATAACTGAAAAATGAGAGTTTTTTTGCTTGTTTTAAGGAAATGATCTGCCAGTGCATGGGGTAAGTGAAATAATCTTGTTTTCGCTTTTGAAACAAGACTAAATATTTAAAGATTTTTTTTTTTTTTTTTTTGTATAAAAGCATATAAATTACATATAAATACAGTGATTAAATACAATTCTGTAGCTCCGGGTCAACTATAATTCAGACTGCACATTGTATACCTGTGAAATGTGACTGTTGCGGATGTGCACATTGCAATTATCGAAGCTGAAACAATATATTGCACGGCCCTAATTTACAGCACCATTTACCTTTCTGCATATATATTTTGAGTATTTTTTTATCTTTACTGTAAAATATACAGTTATTTTCACAATGCAACTTTTAAAATAGAGTAGCATACTGCATAACTGTCCTACAGTAAAATGCAGATCATTTTATAGTTAAATACTGTGTAATTTACAAAAATTGTGTATCAAAAACCATTTTGAATAAGTAGAGTAGGCTTTAGAAGGTTTAATAATACAAAAACGTGTTTGTAATTCCAATGTTTTAAATTTTTTCACCTGCAGTATCTTAATGGAAGTGATTTTTCTTTCTATGCCAGGTGCCACACTGAGTGTGATCATTGACATTGACATCAACATGTCTGTGGTGATTTCGGCTCTTATTGCCATCTTCTACACGTTGGTGGGTGGCCTGTATTCAGTGGCTTACACTGATGTCGTCCAGCTCTTCTGCATTTTTTTAGGACTGGTAAGGCTTGACACGATGAAGTCATTGCAGTGATGTCATTGTCCTCTTAATTCATGTCTGCATGTCTTCAGCAGCACTGAACACAATGTGATTGATCAAAGTGGCTGTCTTAGCAGTGACAGCTCATTAATCACACTTTAGAGATACAAGTAATAAGCTCATACAAGTAGCATAAAATACTTTATTTTGTTGGAGTATTAGTAGACTGTCTGCGTAATATCTGTAGATACTGTTCCTTCAACAGACATTTAGCTGACTATAAGAAACTCTGCAAGTACATGTCAACTTACCTTAATAACCCTTACCCCAACCCTAACCCCAACCTAATCTAATGAGAATTAGTTGGCATATAGATGCAATGTAACTTAAATAATTAACTTAAACGGACCATCAAAATAAAGTGTGACCAATAAATAAATAAATACATATACATTTGCGCTACCACTTTACATTTAGTTTCATATTTACATTGATATGGAATATAATAATGATAATAATAACAGACACATAGCCAGCCCAGTAAAAGGGTTTGTTCTTTTTTTTTTTTTTTTTTTTTTTTTTAGGCGACCTTTTTGCAGTTAGCATTATGTTCTGTTTATTTGAGAGGTTAAATACTGCATTTCAATGACATTTTAAGCAGAATTTTTAGCTGGATTAGCTTGTCAGGTGGTCATCATAACATCTTGAGGTACCAAAAACATTTTCTAAATATGGAGAATAAAGAAATATCAGAAAAAATGAAATACAATTTTATTACATTTATTACATATATTATTGAAAAACAGGTTTAAGATAAAGTTTTAAATGAAAAAAGAAAAACAAAACTGTAGCCAGTTGTCATTTATTGGGCAAATAACAAACTAACCAATACATTAAAAAAATTAAAACATAATAATTTGAAATAATGTAGAGCTTGACATTTTTTCTAGCCTCTTTCGTAAAAAAAAAAGGAAATTTTGAAAATTCATGGATTAAAAAACATACCCTTAGTATTAAAATGAACCCTGATATGGGCCTCTTTTGGTGCTTCAAACCTTTTTTTTAGGTATTTTTGCTCCAGAATAAGGTCCAGAATAAAAGTTGGGCGACTTAAAGTGAAAGATGACTTCACCTTATTTATATTGTATGTTTTCTTGAAAAATAATTGTTTCTATTCATAGCAGTCTAAATAAGACAAATGACCTTATGAATGGAATAAAAATGACCTTTTATCAGTGGGCGGTCATCTTATCATCTGATTTTTTTGCAAAATGGAAAATAATAATTATCAAAATATATTACCCTTAATTAATTAATTATTGTTTTATTTGTATTTTTTATTCTATATATAAAAATAATGATAAAATTTATCTAGTGGACAGATTTAATTTAAATTAATTTAATTTTATTTTATTTTGTTGTTTTAAAGATTTATTAAAATGAATCTGTTACCTCAAAAGAAATGTAAAATGTTGGCTGTTCATTTCACTGTGCCAACCCCTGATTAATAATAGGACTTCGCTGAAAATAAAATGAATGAATGAATGAATGAATGAATGTATAATGTTTAAAATCACCTCTATATGCAACACATTAATTTAAGAATGTGTTATTACAATGTAGTTAACAGTCTATTGTATCTTAATAGTGTACCATGTTGTTTTTGTAGTGGGTGAGTGTTCCTTTTGCGCTCTCGAACCCGGCTGTATCTGACATCGGAGTGACAGCAGTGAAGCAGCTCCATGCTAATCAGACCGCATGGCTTGGGAAGATAGAAAGCTCTGACAAATGGATGTGGGCTGACAACTTCTGCCTTCTGGTGAGTGGACAACTCGTTGTAGCACGATGGGATAGAGACCCAATCTTTTCACCAATGGAGAATTGTTGATTCTGAAGGGCCAAATCTAATTTCTCAGTTTATTGAACAATGCAATCATTCGTGGGAAAGAGAAATAAATAGGACTAAAAGAAACTGAGAGAGAGAAAGTGTGTGTGTGTGTGTGTGTGTGTGTGTGTGTGTGTGTGTGTGTGTGTGTGTGCGTGCGTGCGTGTGTGTGTGTGTGTGTGTGTGTGTGTGAATAAGCGGTAAAAGTGTTCCATCTCATTCAATCTCGACAATATGGCTATAGATGCACAAACTTTACTTATTTTCAAATAGATTACTTAATAATAACTGATCAACTTTGAAGTGTAACCTGCAAAAATGACTGTGACAAACAGTTAATTAAAGGTGACAAACAGTAGAAATCTCTTACCTGGTTAACAGTAAGTTTATTTAATTTACATAGTGACCAACCATCAATTCTATCAATTCTATCTATTTACTCTTTTACATTACTGTGGTTCTAAGGTAGTTCTCATCAGTTATATCCATTATTTTATGTTAAATGTTAATTGCATTACTTTAGTGTTACCATAATAGTCTTCTATACACACTACCTGACAAAAATCTTGTTGTCAATCCCAGTTGTAAGAGCAACAAATAATAACTTGACTTCTAGTTGATCTCTGGAAAAATGACAGAAGGTAGATGTTTTTAGATAAATCATATGTTGAAATTCATCCCAAATATCCTGAAAGGTCGAGGTGCTCCAGAATTGGCCAGCCCAATCACCAGACATGAACATTGTTGAGCATGTCTGGGGTAAGATGGAGAAAGCATTGAAGATGATGAAGATAAATCTCAATGAACTCTAAGAGTCCTGCAAGAACTCTTTCTTTGCCATTTCAAATTACTTTAATAATAAGTTTGAGTCATTGCAGAGATGTATGGATGCGGTCCTTCAAGTTCATGGGATTTATACACATTATTAATTATTTTTCCTCTGCTCCATGACTTTATTTCTGTTCCTAAAACTTGGATAGGTGACAAGACTTTTGTCAGGCAGTGTATTAGTATGTTTTTCTTCTTGTGGACAAGTTGTTTGTGATGAGCTTTGGTTCATCATATTACTGCTCTTTTTTGTGTGTCTGTTTGTTTTATATGTGTAACAAATTTACAACTCATAGATTTTAGTACTTAAAAATATGCAAACGCTAGTTTACTGTAAACTTAGAAATTAATTTTATGGTTTCTATCAGGTGGTTTCTAAATACAGCTATCAGTTTTTTTATCGAAAATTTTACAGATTTCTTTTAAAGCTATTTATTTATTTACTTTTTTTCAGCCCTGAGTTTATTAACGGATTGTTTTTTGTTTTTGTTTTAAATCTGAATTCAACGGTATTCTCAGAGTTCATCCGTTGAATATTAAAAGTCATCTTATTGGTATTAACAAAGGATTTCAGCAGATCATCAATAACCCCAAACACTAGAAACAAGTCTTTCTGCATTGATAATACTGATAAATATAGAATATTGAATAGTGAATATTACGGTACTGCAGAGAATAGCTTTTTGTAAAATCCATCTACTGGCATTCATTCAACTTATTTTAAAAAACATTTGATTTTTTTTTTCTAAATTATATAAACTCTTGATATTGTACAGTATTGTACATGTCTGTTGTCTGTATTTACAATGATGTTTCTGTTCCTAGATGTTGGGGGGGATTCCCTGGCAGGTGTATTTTCAAAGGGTTCTTTCTGCCTCTTCAGCTACCTATGCTCAAGTCCTTTCCTTCCTGGCTGCCTTTGGCTGCATCATCATGGCTATTCCCTCTGTCCTGATTGGAGCCATAGGGGCTTCCACAGGTAAAACAGAACCAGAATACTTCTTCTTCTCTTTTTCATCTATCTATCTATCTATCTATCTATCTATCTATCTATCTATCTATCTATCTATCTATCTATCTATCTATCTATCTGTCTGTCTGTCTGTCTGTCTGTCTGTCTGTCTGTCTGTCTGTCTGTCTGTCTGTCTGTCTGTCTGTCTGTCTGTCTGTCTGTCTGTCTGTCTGTCTGTCTGTCTGTACATGTGAATTGGGTAGGCTAAAATTGTCCATGGTGTATGTTTGTGAATGAGAGTGTATGAGTGTTTCCCAGTGATGGGTTGCAGCTGGAAGGCCATCCGCTGCATAAATACATATGCTGGATAAGTTGGCAGTTAATTTCGCTGTGGCGACCCCAGATTAATAAAGGGACTAAGCTGAAAATAAAATAAAAGAAAGAATCTTGATTACATCATCTTAAACTAAGTAAAAAGTATTACTTTTTAATAGTATATATATATATATATATATATATATATATATATATATATATGTATATATATATATTATTATTATTATTATTATTATTATTATTATTATTAACCAATGTCTATTTTGTACCATAGTATTTTTATTGTGTTAAAAAATAAAATATTCTTTAGAAAATTAGTTGAATATGTCTTTAACATGTTTAAAAAAATCATCTTAATACTGCAGTAAATGTTTTATTAGCCTCATATTTTATATGTTTATTTAGTTATTTTAAATTGTACCAACAATAATTCGCCCCTCCCTTCTGCAACTAAATCTTTTCTACAGAGGACGGGACCAGAACCTGTCACTCACATGAGATTGTACCAATTAGCAAATGACAACAAGTCAACATATAAATCCCAATGAACGAAATAAAATCCCCTTTTGTCTTTTTTCACACGCATCTCATTATTTGTTTCACTTGGATATACATCCACAACACGAGAGGAAAAGGCAATCGTAACATTGTTGAATCCCAACCTTTCAGCAACAGCGAAAGTTTTGCATTAAAAAAACAGCAGCTGCAAACAAAGTCATCCCAAATGTCTAATTAAACAGATTTACAGACTGCATCCACTTACAAATCGCTAGACTGAGACTTTAGAGTGCAAAAATCTGGGAAGGCTCATTATTTTACCAATAAAAGCTTCAGGTTTGTCTAACTTTTCTTAAACAGACGATACAAAAGATCTCTTTAATACAGTAATTCTGCTGTTCCCCCCTCCTTCACTAGCCCCCTGCCTTCACCCGTAATTATTCACAGCTCAGCCAAACTAAAAACTGTGCATCAAAGTCTTTTGCATATTGTTTCCTGTACATGTTTCCTTGTCCCAAAGCACATTCCCCCCCTTTGAGCGTGTACTGTATTTAGCATATACTGTCAGTACTTCTAATTACGTGATCAGTTGTTTCTCATTATTAGGGGACCAGTGTGATTTGCAGTGGGGTGTTATGGGAGGTGTTTCCCCAGGCTGTTTCTGCCCCGGGTGGAAACCATGTTCTCTTCAGATCACTAAAGAAATGAGTAAATAACAACAGCTGGTCTCCCTCATACATTATTAACCGATTATCCGTTTAACGATGTGAACCCTGTAAATATTACATCTGAGGGAGGCTCACAGCTACCAGATTTAATCAACCGTCTTTCAGCATCAAAGGCACAGCCAGTCACTTATTACTGCACTTATTGGGAATAACAGTCTAATCAAGCATAAAGCTTGGATTGTAAGCAAACAGAATTTGGAATAAAATGTTATGAATAATGTTTGGGCTCATTTAATATGTATTCATCTCATGTATGAAAAATTAAGAAAAAAAAGTAACATTATTTTATTTATTTATTTTTTGCTAATGGTTATCATGGATTGGATGTACAGTATGTGTGTTTTGCTCCACAGATTGGAACCAGACCTCGTACGGGCCGATTCCTCCCATGCAAAAGGACCAGTCGGACATGATCTTGCCGATTGTGCTCCAGCACCTTTGTCCAGCCTACATCTCCTTTTTTGGTCTGGGGGCCGTTTCTGCTGCAGTGATGTCATCTGCTGACTCATCCATCCTATCAGCCAGCTCCATGTTCGCAAGAAACATCTACCAGCTCGCTTTCCGCCAATCGGTGAGAGACTGGCTATTTGGATTAAATGCAAAGTTATTTATTGAAAATAAGGCTCTCTCTCTATACAGTTGAAGTCAGATTTATTGTTTTTTTAATTATTTAAATATTATCAGACATACTGTGAAAAGTTCCTTGCTCTGTTAAAAAGCATTTAGGAAACATTTATAAAAGAAAAAAAATAATTCTGACTTCAACTGTATATATTTCATTTATTTGACTACAAACCCGAATGTTCCTACATCAAGATGAATTTACAAAAGCTAAATATTTCTACATTGAGTGTGTTTACTCTTAAAACTATTCCAGTAAGAAACTTATTTCAAAGGAAACTCAAAGGAAAGGTTGTTTCCCTAAAGCATTTTTTTAACCTCGTTTTTTTTTTTTTTTTTTTCTTGTTTTAAGAGTACAGTCACTTTTTAATGAAATAAAATAAAACTTTATCCTAGGAGTTTATATTTTAAGCTGTATGTTGTTGTAAGTTTTTTTTATATTATAATAAATAGTAATTAAATTATCATTTTTAGCAATTACTAATTCATTCTTTAATTTAAAATATCTAATTATTTTTTAATTACTATGGAGTTGTACTAAACAATCAAATTTGATAAATCGTCAAGGTTCTACCTTTTTTTTTTTTTTTTGGTCAAAATTTAGATATTAACATTTTCTTATTAAATGACAATGTATTTACATTATGGGATTTTGTTTTACGTTGTGTACAATTTAAGACTTTTTATTAAAAAAAAAAAAAAATGTTACACACACACTGTTTGCTAATAGAATGCAAAAACTTTGAAGCTCAATGTCTCAAAATCATTTAGAACACAAATGGAACCTTATAATTCCAAGGTGACGAAATGCTTCAATGTATGACTTTGTTGATTTATTAGCATTTAAGGGCCATGAACACCTCTAGTTTGAAAAAAAGTCAGGAAAGTGGGTGAGTCCAACTTTATTTAGGTGGGAGTGTCGAATGGCGAAAAAGGGAAGGGTTTGCATGAAAAGAAGAGTTTCATTACGCGCACTACCGCTGATTTTTGCAACACAAACACAGACGCAAAGGAGATAGACAGTGATTCAAAGAGCTGCATTTTCAGCGTAACTGAGAGCTGTGTGGAATTGGAGGATTTTCAGTACATAGTGATATTACTGTAAACTTAGTACCTAAATATTTTTAACTAAGTTATGTCTTTAAAAACTGAAAGAGTACTGCTGACGATACCAACTAACTTTGCCATCTAAATAAACATAAACAAAGAACACTGATCACACACACTTACCAAATCTGCAGAGACAGGACAATCAACACGAACTGAAACCGCACCTTTTTTAAAAGAAGACGATTGGCAAATCTGGATTTCACAATTTCCATGAATTTCAATTTCCTTATTGTGGAGAAATGGAAACAAAAACTTTGTTGTGGTATATTTAGAAATGCAACACTAAAGACCCATGTCTTCAAAACTTGTTCTTCTACTAGTTTGAATTACAGTTAGCAACACAATGTGGCGTCTCTCTGAACACTGTAACAGGTAAAATGAGTCTTCAAAGCTATATCATGTATATTAATGAAGTTGCATCTCGTTCACAATAAGTGGTGCTGATTGATTCGAACAAAGTCTTTCTCATGAATTAATGAACAGATGTGCTGAAAACTCAATGATGTCACTTTGTATCAGCTGGTACGGACATCCAATCTCCAGGCTAGAATTTACACAATGATCTCATCGCCGTGACGGAAGTAAGAAACTATCTAAACTAAATTACGCAAAAACAACCAATTTTTACTTTTTATTGAAATATATGTTTTCTATTAGTGTTTTTAGCACAGTGGGGCATATATATTAGTCAACATCTAAAAAAATGTGTTTTGGTGTTTTGTGACCCTTTAACTTACATTAGCATAATTTGTCAACATTTACTCACAATCAAAACCAAGACTTTCATTCTTCTAGGAAACAAAAAAGAAGATATTTTGAAGAACGTGTCATGTGTTGCTGTCCAGTGGTGTTCCAAACAACACTAAAACTTACTTGCATTTACTGGATTGAAAAAAGCTAAAAACAAATCAATGCATTCTAGATTTTCAATAAATTAAAAGCTACAAACTAATATTACACAAGTAATAGTGTACTGTTTTGTTTTACTTGTCTACTAACTCCCACCTCATCTTTTATCCTGACCTCCAGGCCTCTGACCGTGAGATAGTGTGGGTCATGCGGATCACCATCTTTGTATTTGGGGCTCTCGCGACAGCCATGGCTCTCCTGACCGGGACGGTGTATGGTTTATGGTACCTGAGCTCTGACCTGGTCTACGTCATCATCTTTCCCCAACTCCTTAGTGTGCTTTTCATCCGGGGCACCAACACTTACGGCTCTGTAGCTGGATACTTCTTCGGCTTGATTCTGCGCATTGGCGGAGGAGAACCTTACCTCAAACTACCTCCATTCATCTACTACCCCGGATGGACCATTGAGGAGAAGGTCCATCATTTGACCCATGAGGTGGAATACCTGGTTATGCAGAGGTTTCCTTTTAAGACTGCTTCAATGCTGGCGTCATTCCTCAGCAATGTAGCATTCTCGTATCTGTTTAAATACCTGTTTGAGAGCGGAACTTTGTCAGCTAAATATGATTTCTTGGATGCCGTGGTGGCCCAGCACAGTGCTGAGATCATGGACAAGACCACTCTGGTCAATAAGAACATCATTGGGCTAAATGAAATGGCCCCTGTCAAACCGAGACTCAGTGTTACTTTAGCTGCTACCTTTACTAGGAAAGAAACCCTGACAGAAGAGGAGGACTCCAGCCCGGAGTCACCCATTCACGAAAATGAGTAGATGTTTATGGTCAATCCTGAGAAGAAGACTCCATAATGTGAACAACAGAGCTTCATCTGAAAAGAAAATAATTATCTGATTTGAATTATGTAATCCATTGACGCCACATCCTTTTCTGGAATTTTCATTACTACCTTTTTGAAGGGAAAATGGGACAGTGTTTGAAACTCTGTTGAGAACGGAAAATAGAAGAACTGGTTTGAGTGATATTCGGAAAAACTGACTTGATGGTGTTTCTTATTCTGAGAAGCTGGTGGACTCCTGATGGTATGTACGAACCCTGAGTGACTTTCCTTTCCCTTCTAAAGAAAATGATGAGACACTGTGATAATCCTGAATATTTGATTGCATTAATGGGATAGTTCACACAAAAATGTGATGGTATGTTTGTTTTATTTTTGTCCACCGATACAATCAAATATATTTGGCTTTTATTGTTTAAGTGTGGAAAAAACTGGATAAATCTGCCACAGGATAAAAAAGGGAATTTTTATCTCACAAGGGACATAATTGTAAGATATACTGTAATATAAGAACTGTTAGATACAAACAGAAGCAGTAAATTATGATAAAAATATCAGAATTCTGCATTTCTTTTAAGGATTGCCACTTTATTTGTTATTTAAATGCAAGTTTAGTAGTGTTTCTGACCTAATTTCTCAAAATATTAATATTACATATAACAATTCAAAGTGTCTTATTAAAAGCTGAATTTGTGAAGGTTAAGTTTTATATAAACTAATATATAAACGTATGTTTTAGGAAAAAGTCTAAACTATGTTAACTGGCATATAAGCTTACTAGGGCTGTGCGATTAATTGGATTTGACATGTTTCGATTAGCTAAATCACAAGAGGCAGTGATATGAAATATATATGATTTAATTTCCCCTGCCCAGGACAAATGCGTGACTCCCGTCTGTGTGTGACAATCTTACTAGCCAATTGAGTGCGAATACCTTTGTTCTGCCCAATCAGAATTGCGCAACCGAACTATGCAGAACACCCACATTTAAACAAGCAAACAGTAAAGCTGTCAAAAACACTGATTTCTTTACAATTTAAAATAGCTTCTTTGGATCTTATTTCTGCTAGAGATACTGTTAAACAAATGTAAAAAATATATAAAAAATTGTACATATACCGTAAGAACGGTATAGCAGAAAATATTTATGGTTTTAAAACTTTGACTTTTCCAAACCACGGTATACATTGAAAACGGTTATTGTCCTATGCCTAGCTGTTACACCATATGAAAAAAAAAATATCACAAAGGCACCAGGAGGTAACTAACATCATAACTCACTACTGTTTGCTTTAGAGAAAAATTAGGGTTTAATTTCTGAGTATTCATAAACAAATTTAAATAAAAGTTGGAGTAATTTTATATTTTTTCAGTTCCTCACTGCATTTTAGCAGTAAGAATCTACTATACAGATTGTTGAGCTGAAGCTTTACTACCAAATTAAATCACAAATCAAATTGAAATTGCAATATATGATAAAAAAAAAATCACTATTAGATATTTTCCCCAAATCGCTCAGCCCTAAAACATACACTTAAAAATTATGTTTGCAGCTTGTTTAAACTACTCATTCAAAATCAGTTGAAACAACACGTTTCTTACGTTATTTTTAAGACATTTTTATTTTTTATATATGTTGAATACACTTCAATTGTAAAAACAATTAATTTAACATAGTTGATTTGTGTTGGGACAGCTTGAAATAATTGTGTGTAGCCAAGCATTTATTTTAAGCATATATATAAAAATAGTTTTTTGGAAAAAATCTGAATTGTGAGATATGATCTAACAAGAAAAATCTTAAATGTGATTTAAATTTTTAAGGGTCCTGTGTGTACTGTACTTTTAGTAATTTCACTTTTATGGGGATAAATATGTTGATTTGATTGCTTTTAATGTCAAATAACTAAAAATAAACATACACTGTAAAAAAAACAGGGTTCCTTACAATTCATTCATGTTGTGCCAAGACAAATCGATTAAGTTAACTTAACACTTTTTATATATTTGTGGATTGAGAATTAAGTTATCCCAATAAAATCTCAAGAATTTTGTTGTTTTGGCTCAATTTAAATAAGTAGTTTGAACAAGTAAAAGTTTTTTTTTTTTTTTTTTTTTTTGAGTATAGGAAAATGCTAATTTTGAAAGAACATTTCAGACAGCAAATACTATAACATGTAATATACAATATTAGGAACCATAGAATTGTGAGATAAAAAGTTGCAGTTACCTTTTTATTCTGTAATAGAGACAGGCTTCCTTTGAAATATTTGAAACTGAGTAAATGATGGCAGGATTGTATTTTTTTATTCTGTGAACTGTCCCTATAATGTTTCTGAATCTGGACTCAGGTCAGTCCAGAATTTAAAAAAAAATGTTACAGTGATGATGATAATATATCCAATTATAGCTGTATATGAAAAAGAATAATAGGTGTAAGTTCATGTCATGCCATTACTTATGTCGAACTCCCATGGTAGATTTTAGTGCAGATTATCCTATCGTCCTCTCATAAAAATCAAATGTAGCTAAACAGTAATAAGCTGCTTAATAAATGTATAATTGTATAACAAGTGACGTGCTTCCCATCTACGAAATACCTTTAAAAACTGTGACATAAGAGTGCACATGTGGCAAATACATTTTTCATGTTCGTAGTGCAATATTAAGATGAACGGGAAGACTTAGAACATGGGGAAGTGAAAAAAAAAAAAAAAACATACTTAATCTTATAATCGCCTTAACTAGCTACATTGATTAGATGGGAGTGATTGGACATTATGCAAACCTGGTTTGTCACTTTGTTGTACTTGAAAATGAATGTAGCAACTGATTTACCAGATGTAATAATAACCTCCAGGGTCTGTGCTGTGTTGACTTTTATTTTTGTGATTTGCAAAGTCATACGTATGTCTAAAGAAGTCATTGTACCTGGTTTCAGGACGATCTAGCTGCTGTGTTGTTTTGTTGGCTTTAGCGATACAAGAATTTGTGTGTTGTGTGTGTGTATTTATATTCCAATGAATATATCTATCCAGTATTTCACTAAAATGTAAAGTGTCACTTTACCATTCAACAAGCATATATATATATAACAATATATTTATTTGAGTTGGTTGGAGCCAGCTACACAAATCTATATTTATTTATTATTTGTGGCCTACATAGAAGAGATAATAAATTTTATTGTTAAGACTTTCATAGTTGTGTATGATTCATTGTTATATCGTCATGCTCAACAAAGTGTTTAAATCATTTGTTCAAACTCGCTTTCTAAATCTTACGCCATTTCGTAACCCAAACCACCTCCTTATTGACTGCTAGGAGTTACGAAAAAGCGTGTTCCTAAAAACGTGACAATTTCATGACGTCAACTCTTTTCGACTTCCAATGTCACTGTTAAAAGACGGCACTCTAAAAATAGGCAGTGGGTTATTTACATTAAGTGCTCTGCCGGTTTTAGCGGGTGGGATGGGGCGAATACGGAGGAGGGAAGTAAATGTGGGGGTTGGGCCGGGTTGCTTATGCGTCTTTTTATACACTGCGTCAATGTCTTGGGGGTGGAGGATGACTCTGTTCTTTCCCTACCCAATCGTGTCCTGAGTTTGTCCTCCATTTTGCCCTTGCTGTCCAAAATTTAATCCCATTACATCGTTGAGGCTGGATATCCCATTCACAAAAGAACAGCGAAGAGCACTTGTGGTGATTAATAATCACCGCAATAGGGCGGTTCTCTTAGCTCTTAGCCAAAAAGTCAAGTCATTTCTATCCTTTCAACTAAGGAGGTGTTTGCCGCCATTTTAGGTGTCTGGAAAAACCTACTACTTGTTGACAGTTTTGAGATTGTTCATGGTTGGAATATTAGCAGATGTGTTTAAACGTAAGCTTTTAAACCGCTAGCTTGCTTTGTATGTGGGCGTTCTCTGGTTTTCTTGGTGATCACGTCTCTGATCACAAATCAGTAATGAAATACTTGAGGTCCAAGAATCTCAGCTGAAATATGGTGCATCTAATTGAATCAGCCTAAGTGAGGGACATTTGTCCTCTCTTGTGGTTCAATCGATCAAATCTCCCACAACAACGGTTAGGAGCGCAGCTTGCGACGGAAGCTACAAGGCAGCATTCAATTGTATTCACATCCGTCATTGTTTAGTTGAACCATTTCCTTTTCTGTAAATCAACAACGGATACAGACTATTTTTGTCTAAACAGTGTTTATTATTTGTGCTACTTAAAAGGAGGAGAAAACGACCCCTAAATCAAAAAAGCTTCATAAGTGTAGCTGTGAATTTTTATTTCTGCTAAGTGGCTGCTCAGTCCCCAGTGTGCCGTATAAAAGACGACTGGAAACGCCTTCTCTGCAGCCTCTTAATGGCAGAGTCTTCATGTATCTGTCAAGAAATCATCTCCCTATTGAAGGAGGCAGGTGTAATTAGATTTGCTCTCATTAAACCTGGGGAATAATTGGGCATGCTGGGAAATATAGTTTTGGGTCTTACCAGAAGAGAGTTGGTCTAATGTAATGTGAAAGATAAAAGACAACAGATGAGGTAAAATATCTTAATAAAAGAACTGCTTGCTTTTTCTGATTTTCCTGGACGGCTGTAGAATATTATAAAAACATTTTCCTCCTGTATTTTGTATTTAAATGACAATAAAATATTTGGAAATATTTTCCCCCCTTGTTACAGGTCAAAAGTATGTGATGATCATTAAGTAGGCTGAGTATATATTAATATTACTTTGTACTATAACAAGGTAACAAGGACATCTTAAAATAAAATAAATTAGAATAAATATTTATTTATTCACTAGACTTTTAAATGGTAAACTAGATTTGTTATACACTTATATAAGTGTCCTATAATATTTACCAATACTACACATAATTTTTGTCTGTTACAAAAGTTACTGAGTCAAATGATTTGATACATTTGTTAACAGATTCCTGCAATGCCGTGAACAAGACACATTTCAGATTACATACTGTATTGCTTCCTAAAAATAATCACTTGGCATATTTAGAGTCCACATGCATGAGATTAAAAAAATTATTTTTATTTTGCTAATGCACATTGTTAGTCTTAAAATTAACAATTAATAGCAACATTAATTATAAAAAAAACTGTTTGATTTGATAATATTTAATCAAATCCAGTTCTTCTCTGATGATGTCAGTTTGACCAACACAATTCCATGGCAGTTTGTAATATTTTGATTTAGTGGCTAATTGTGTTAATTTGTGCATGCATTTGCCTTTTCTGCTTATCTCCGTATGGACGTCTTTTCCGGATTGGTCAGTTTGCTCAGTAGCTCACCTTGTATGCTGTCGTACTTGGGATGTAAAGCAGAACTGTTAGCGGTTCACTTCCATTATTTGGTACGATTGCATTCATACCAGAAATTCGGACCAGAGCTTGTGCGAACCGT